GGAAAGGGATATATGTATGTATGTCCGTATGTATGTATGTATGTATGTATGTATGTATGTATGTATTATGTATAGATCTATCATCCACCAACCATCTCTCTGCTTCCAGGGATCCCCTGCAACCTGGCTGCACCAGGCCCTTCCTAAGCTCGCTGAGATCATTCGTCTACAAGATTCCAGTGCCATTAAGATTGAGGTGGCCACATATGCCACCTTGTACCCTGACTTCAGGTGAGCACTAGAGGCCCTCGGGAACGGAGTAGTGGGTTTGTCCCTGCCAGGTCCCACTGTACTCTGAGCAGTGACAGGAGTCCCCTCAAGACCCACTCAACAGCTAAGACTCCACCAAGGTGGGTTCATAATGTCTGACCCTCAGTCTGGGAGTGACCTGGGTGACCTTGTACCCTCCTGTTCCTGTTAAGGACCTGTCTGAGGACTTGGTGAACCATGGAAGGTGTTCCTTCCCAGGCTGTGTCCTGGATGTGACTGGGGTTGACGTAACTTAGCCTAGTCTGGTCTGCAGCTGAGCCCTCCACCTCTCCAATCATCTATCTATATAGATTGACCTCTCTGCACACAAGCCCCATCCACTTGTCTACCGGCCCACTCTCCGTCTTTCCTTATGCTCACCACTAGACTGATCCGTCTGCCCGTCCTTCCAGTTATCGTCCATCCTTCTGTTTACCCATGTATCCACCTCCACCCATCCCCCACCTTTCCATACCTGACAGTTACCCCTCCATCCTTCCCGCACCTTACAGCCTGGGTGAGGGCTACCCATGATGAGAGGTGATCAGGCAGAAAGAGAAAATTCCAAGTTGTAGAGTTCAGTCATCTGGAGTTACAGGGGATGCCGTCCAGAGATGGCAAAGCCATCTAGAGAAGTGACATTTAGCTGAAACTTTAGGAGTCAGCCATGGCAACGGTGTAAGGGGAGATGTTCTGGGGGAACAGCCAGTATGGAGGCCTGACAGGCTGGAGAGGGGAGGAGACAAGGAGGGCAAGGCTACCTACTGGGCACAGCAGCTGGCTGCAGGTTTTGTGGCAGGGCCTGCAGTCAGAGAAGCCAGCAAGAGCTGTGAGCAGTGGGACTGACAGGATATTCTTCTCTCTTGCCAGCAAAGGCCACCTGAACGCCATCCTGGCCATCAAGGGAAATCTCCCAAGCAGCGAGGTTAGGAGTATCCGGAATATACTGGACATCAACACAGGGCTGCAGGAGCCTTCCAGGCCGCTGTTTGCACTTATAAAAGTTGGTTAGCTTTTCCAAATGTCTGATGTGCTGATGAGCACGCAGCCAGCATCAGACACCTCCCTAGTTGGGGATGCTCAATGTTGCCCCTAGTTGGGGCAACACCACCGTGACCCATCATCACCAGGCCCCCACATTCTGCTGCTGCTGTTGGAGTGGACAGACCACTGTCCAGTGGGGCCCGGAACCCACCGTGGGGAATTGACCTGTGAGCACACAAGAAATTTCTCGTAAAGGATGGTTCTTCTTGGGCAGAGTGCCCTCTGCCTTCCTACATTAGTCTGTCTTCTAATGCCACCCCCCCCCCCCCCCCGGTGGGGGGGGCCTGGGAAGCCCCCTCCCTGGGACCAGGGAGGAAGCCTCATCCTGCTCCTTCATGGGCTGCCATTGCATACAGCTGAAAACAAAGGAAGAAGGAAAAGCTAACCTCTGATCTGGGGCCCGGAAGGAGGCTTGTGAAACACCGTGGCAGATCTAGCATCAGAACCACTTCCAGAGCAGGCCCTGGCCCTGCAAGTAGCTCCTGGTACCACTAAGCCAGGAGGACCTGCTTCTTCACACCCTATGGCTGCCCCTATGCGTGTATATGTTTGGGGGGGGTGACCCAGAGGGTCTTGGCAGAGCCCGGGACCTCATGGGTTCTCTTAGGTTGTACTTCCCCCCAGGCAGGAGCAAGCACCTCTAGGCTGGCCCTCCGAAGTCTGGGTGGGAACACAGGAGTCCAGCAAGTGCCTGATTAGCTTCCTGTTGGTCTGTACCACGTCTCCACACCTCGAACTTTCCTCACAGTTGGAATCTAAGTGTGGTCAGGCCCCACTGCTTTTGGAGACCCTGGGAGGAGTCATTTCCTGGACTTTCCCAGTTGTTAGAGGCTACCCACATCTCTTGTCTGAGACCCTTGTGCCTTCAGAGCCAGGGAAAGCTACCATGTCCTTCACGCCACTGTGTCCTTCACATATACTGCTTTATCAATCCCTCTGTGGTTTAGAACCCCAGTGATTGCACTGAATCTGCCTGGAGACTTATTAGCAGCCTTGATTCCAGCTGCAAATTTAATTCCTGTTTGCCATATCACCCAGTAGTTGTTGTCTCTGGGGACCAATGGGTCCCACACCTGGAAAACATGAAGCACCTGCTACTCCTCTCCAGCCATGAAAGCCCTTCTCAGCACTGACCCAGCCTTGACTACTCCTCATGATTCAAGGCTGGGATTTGAAGCCCTTCCTCCAGATTTGTCCCCTTTCCCAGGTACTTGCCTTACAAAACTGGCCAGGAACTGGCCACTGTGAGCAATGCACAAAGGCCTTCATATTTTTGTAGATGTTAGCTTGTTTGATGACATTCATATTGTTGATATTATTTTTATAGTGTTGATTTTGTGTGCATGTACTCAGGACGGAATTTAGGGTGGTTGTGGGTTGTTTTTTTATAAAGCTTGATATAAAACTGATTTCAAAAGTGGCTGTGGAGTGGTTTATTTGGAGAAGTGCAAAGCTAGGGGAGGGCCTGGGATAGCTCTAGGGGCTTCTTCAACCTCCTGTTGTCTGCAAATTCTCTCTTCTCTGTTCTGGTTCAGAGTCACAGTCCTGGCTGCCCAGCTCTGTGATCCAACCTATCAAATGCTGTGCCCTTTCATGAACCTAGGCCCAATCCTTCATCCCTCCCTGTGTCTTTGCCTTTAAGTTGGTAACTGGTAATCCTGAGGATGGGGGTATGAAGGCTGGTGGAAAGGTGAGGTGTGGGCTCCGGTCATGTTAACTCCATGATGGACTCAAGTGAACAAGACGCTCCTGGTTTATACACAGCCAGAAGGGCATAATGGCCGCCTCCTCTGCACCTCACTTCTGACCTGGTATTTGGGCAGAGCTGAGTGTCTAGGGGAAAGGGGGAATGACAACCCCACTCCACAAAGTTCAAGAAAGATTCTAGGGGGTGGTGAGGAGTTGATGACTGCCTCCCATAAAGAGACTTGTGTGTGTGTGTGTGTATGTGTGTGTGTGTGTGTGCATGCGTGTGTGTGTGTGTGTGTGTGTGTGTGTGTGTGTGTGAGAGAGAGAGAGAGAGAGAGAGAGAGAGAGTGTGAGTGTGTGTGGTGCTGCTGGAGAATTTCATGGCATGAGGATGGGATGAATCCCACCACAAACAAAGTGGGAAGACAGGCTGGCAGGAGACCCAAAGGACATCTGGGGCAGGACCTCTCAGTGCCAGCCTCTGGCTGCAGATTTGTGTTGGTTTGAGTCTCCTTCACAGAGCCCAGGGAATTGGGGTTCTTACCTGGGACCTCCCTGCTAGCATGAGAGGATATCCCTAAACTGGGCCAAAGGAGCACACAGAGTACACTGAGCCCCAATGTGCCAAGGAGCCAAGTGAAGAATGACAGTGCCTGGGTGACCCCAGAGGTTCCTAGCTCTTGGTAGGGGTAAGGCCTGCCTCATCACCTACCAACCTAGCTGCCACTTGAGGTCTACATCAGTCATTTCTCCAGGAAAATCCTAAAATAAGCAAGATTTGCCCCCAGAGAGGGGAAGTGAGTCACCAGGCCTTGGGGTAGAGGCTCTGTTTAGCAGCAGGCCAGCAGGCTCCAGAACTCTGACGCAGGGGCGAGGTTACTGCCTGATCCCATCTCTGCCATTGGAAGCAGAGTTGTTCCTCCATCAGGGTCCACAGTGAAGGGCTCATTTCCTTGATACCCACTGTTTTCAGCAGTCCACACAAACACCGAGTTAAAAAAAAAAAACAGTTGAGAGCTAAATGCAGCAGGGGCCACTGGAGGTGGCTCTAGCTGCGGCTTCGTGGGGGACTGGCTGAAAGAGAGGACTGTTGGCTGAGATCCCAGACCAGAGGAGCCCCTAAGCACAGACCTGGACTGAGTGCCATTTGGACAAAAGCAGGGATATGGGAGCTGGGAAGAGTCGGGCTGTAGGGAAAAGGTGGTGGACTTTGAGTGAAAGCAAAGCAGGGGAGGAAGTCTGTCAGGAAGGCTGGAAAGCAAGGGTGAGACACACAGACAAGGGTCAAGTTCGTTCCAGCTGTAAAGCAAGGTGTTAGAGACTTTTGAAGAGAGGATTTAGTGATTTAGGACCTGGAGGGCCACCTCAGGCTGCTCCCTTGAAAATGGAAGACAGAGGAAACCCAGGAGACTTCCTAAGGAGTACTGAGCTCCCCAGGGGAGAGAGGAAGGGCAGGGAGGGCTCTGTGACAGAGGTGGATGAGCTCTGTGCAAAAAGCAATTCATCAGCTGTGGTCTGAGGCTTGGCTTCCAGAAGTGAGGAAGGCCTTTCAGGGTTGGGGAGCCTGGGGGGCTCGGGGAGGAACTGAGCCAAACTCCGTTTGAAAAGTCTCCAGAAGGGGATTGTGCCTCATTGCCAAGATTCGAGTAATGACAGCTCCCTGGGTAAGGTTGTCGGGCACCAGTTCTGAGGTTATCTTCGCACAGGCCTGTGGAGGCGGGGTGTGAGACTAGCAGACAGACCTCACACCTGGGAGCCAGCTATGCCCTTTCTACCTCATCTGAAGTCCAGCAATTACACAAGGTGACAGGGACATCGGGTCAGTAACTTCCATTGTCGCAGCCAAATACTGGAAACTCCCAAAGTGCCCATCAGTGGGCAGCTGGGAATAACCTCAGCTCACCCAACAATGGAGGCCTGTGTGGGAGTGAAGAAAGGGAGGATGGTCCCTCTGTGCTGACTAGAAAAGTCAGATCGTATAATGTTCCAGGAAAGCACAGTGCCATATTCTGCCTTCACGTAAATGCAGCTGGAAGATGATTGTACACTCGAATTTGCTTATGAGTCTATCTGGAGTGATTTTGGGATTGACATGTGTAGGTATTAGCATTTTATAATTCACACACCCACTCAGGTGAGGAACTGGAAGTAGGTGGTGCCGGAGCCTGGGGAGTCGGAAGGAGCTATGGCTTTTCTGGTGTAGGATGGCCCAGCCACCGTCGGCATCTGGTTGGAGCAGGCAGACCACTCCAGCCAGGTTCAGTGCTCAAGTGCAGATCAGGAGTGATGGTGTTGGGTTCCTAACAGAGAGTGAGCACAGCTGAGGCACGAGGGGCTGGCTGGGTAGATGCTCTCACAGAGGAACCATGGGATCTCAGCAGGCAGGGAGAATGGGGCATGCACAAAGGGCAAGGAACTCTGACACAGTGATGTGTTGAAGGATGGACTCCCAGCGGTGGGGGAGTTATAGGAGAAAGTAAGGGCAGGGGCAGGACTCCTGTGTCACAGAGGGGACCCTGGTGAGCTGCTACAGTGCAGATCAGGAAAGGGCTGGGGTGTCACCCAGAGAGTGTGGCTGACATCACGGGGAGCAGAGAAGTCAAGGAACTACTTGCTGATGGGGGCAGCAGCTGCTGTCCTTGGAGAATCCAGGGTGAGGCCGGAGAGAGGGGAGCAGGTGACAGCAGCATGAGTTCAGAGCAAAAGCACAGAGTGGGTGCGCTGACCTCAGCAAGGCCTTCCCTGAACTGAGGCAAGGGGATAGTTCTCAGTTTATCGGCAGGACTAGCCTTGCTCTACTCTGGAGGTTTTCCTGAGACTGATGACTCTGGGGTCCCAGTTCCCTGACTCTGAGCTTGGGAGGGGTGCAGACTTTAAACCTGTGTAAAGAACTGAGTGAGCAGGGTCACACTCCGGTGAGGACAGCAGTTGCTATTGTAGAGTCGAGTATCAGGAGGCAGAGACGTTGGCAGCCAAGGCCCATGCTAGAAGGACACCCCTCTATGGGGTGGAGAAATGTGTGGGATTACAGGCACCTAGGGGCCGGCCCCATAGCCTCTTGTAGCGAGGTGCCCCAGAGGGCCCTGGAGCTGATGAGACATCTCATCCCGGGGAAGCTGGCGTGGACTGCACACGTGATGGCAGGGCCATTTCATCCATGGCAAGAAAGGACAAGCCTATTTCACTCTTCTAGTTCCTGCTTGAGTCACGTTTGGTGAAGTTCCAGGGCCACATGATCAAGCCCATATGCAGGAGTTGGAGAAATAGTCTGTTTCTTTTGGAGAGGCGCTGGCGTGCTCTGTGCCCATCCCTCCTGCTGGGTCTCCACAATCCATCTTGATTACAGCTGTGTGCATTCCTTTCATGAACAAGATGTCTTTCCATGCCGAGTTCCCCAAAGCTCCGAGCGATAGGGATCATAGCTGCCATCAACAACCCTGTGACTCTGTAGGACTGTGTTCCGAGCCTCAGAACGGCTCCGTGAAGGAAGCCACACTTCCTTTTCTGAAGTGCTGGGATGGAGCCCAGGGCCTCAGCCCTGACAGCACTCTACCACTGAGCTACACTCTCAGACCCTTCTAAAACAGTATTTTG